GGGCCGGGCCGGGCCAGGCCGGGCGAGGAAAAGTGGGGCTCCTCCACTGAGGAAAAGCTTCTGGGGAGATGAGCAAAGTCTATGCCACACAGTTTTTTTAAGCGCCCTTTGCCAGTGTGAAGTCATTTGGGTATTTTAAGAGCATGTGATGCATTATGCATATCTCGTTTTTGTTGAAGGAAATCATGGTTAGTATATTTAAAGATGTGAGTGCCTGGAAAATTATAGGGGGAGAAATGTGGGATATTTTTGCCCCCTGAATTTTCTGGGTTTCTCAAAACTTTCACATCTGCACCCAGCTTCCTGGCGAGTGGAGCAGAGAGAGGAAGATACTGGAGAGAAAATGCCTGCTTCCTGCTTCTCCTCTCTGCAGGCTGTGCCCAGTTGGACCCGCGGTCAGCAGCCCAGGGGCCTCTTCTGCCTCGGCGCTCAGGCCTCCGCGGCCTGTTCCCCATCCCTCAAGGAAGAGAAAATTGCACAGGCCTTTTTGGAAGCACACTCTCAGCTTCTCCTCCACGTAACCGCGCCCCCCCCTCCACCCGACCCCGTCTGCTTCAACTATGGGGGCGTGGCGCCACCTGGAGGCTATAACAGGGAATGCAGCATTAGGAGGAATTCTGTCACCCGTCCTGGGCGGGAGTAGAAAGAAATAAAAATTCTGAGCCAGCTTACTGCCGGCATGTATGAAGCCCCACACTATGAAACACCTTAAATATTAAGGAAGGCTGACAGGGGTGGGATGCCTGCAGTGTTGGCAATTTGGACATTAATATTAGTACGATCTCATGTGTGCCCCTGTTCCCCCAGCCCAGAGAATATTCAGGCTGGAGATCCACAGTGCCTGGCACACTAGGTGCTTAGTAAATGCTTGTTACATTCAGCTGTGGCCTGCAGAGTCACGGCCCAGTCCTGGAGGGGGCTGGATTTGAGGTGCCTGGTGTGAGGCAATGGCTCTGGCAGGGTCAGAGGGTCAAGAGCAAGAGCTGAGGTTCTGGCTAATCGCACCCCACGGCCCTCACCCAGGTCTGGTTGGCCCCTCGGGCCAGCGCCCCTGTCACCGGCTGCACCTCCTGTGCCCCATTCTTGGGGAAGGGAAGTGCCAGGTCCCTCAGCTGGCGTCTGGGAGAGAACAAGGCAGCTGCCGGGGAAGAGACTAATGAGCACTCTGGGGAGCGATTCAGGACATCATACATGGAAACTTATCTCATTCAAAATTGATAAGCGAACACTATCTAATTAGAGAGAATGTGCTGAGCTCCCCGGCTTTCTGGGGACATGGTTCTGGGGCTGCGGCAGGCAGCTAGCTGGAAGAGGGTCCACATCTCTCCCACCAGCAGCCGTGAGGTGGGCCTCAAAACTGCCCTCCCTGGCCTCTCATCCACCTGCTCTCTCAGCCACATGCGAAATGCCAGAGCTGAATGGAGCCTGGGAAAGCTTCTCATTCAAATCGCTCCTTTCACTGATGGAGCTGAGCCCAGAGAGGTTAAATCACTCCATTAAAATCGCACAGCAACAGAGCCAAGACCAGAGGGAAAGCCAGCCTTTGGACTCCCAAGCCAGACTGCTTAGCACCACGCAATGACACCGTCCAGACCTCACGGCCTCGGGCCCTCAGAGCTCTAGCGAGGTCAGTGGACACGGATGTTTCTCTGCACAATCTATCCATCTCAGCCTCCGCCCTTAGAGGGGTCCTTCCCTCACTCCTGAGAACCAAGTCATGGCCCAAAAACCAGCTCCCACAGGCAGCCTTCCAGGATTGTTTGCCCGCCCCCAGTCTATTCCATTTGCTAGTTTACTCATTTATTACACGTAGATCCAGTGGTTAGGGGCTTGGACTCTGAAGTCAGACTGCCCAGGCTCAAACCGTGTCTCTCTCATGTGCCTGGGCAACACTGCGCCTCTCTGGGCCTTGATCTTCTTTTCTCTAGAGTAAGAATAATACAGGCACCTGCCTCAGGCTGAGGATTAAATATCAATCACGTACAGCACTCAGCAGGTACCTGCAGACAGCAAGCACTAGAGTTAAAAAAAACCCCTCCAGTTAGTGTATAGTGACAACCTAAAAATTGTCCTGGGGAATAAGATACCGTTTTCTGCCCAAGACATGAGCAGTATGGCTAAGAGCAGAAATAGGCCCTGCCTGGGGTGGCTCAGGGGGTTGGACTTCATCCTGCAACACAAAGAGTCACCAGGTCGATTCCTGGTCGGGGCCCCTGCCTGGGTTGCGGGCCAGGTCCCCTGTTGGGAGCATGCAAGAGGCCACGCATCGATGTTTCTCTCATGTATTGATGTTTGTGTCCCTCTTTCTCCCTCCCCTCCCCTCTCTCTGAAAATATGAATAAATGAAACCTTTTTATTTTTAAAAGAAGAGCAGGAATAGGAAGGCTGCATGACAGACTCTCGAAGGCGAGGCATCTGCCTCCGTGGGGAGGGTCGGGCACGGTTTTCTGCAGGAGACACAGCTGAGTTGGAAAGGGTGAGGCGGCATTAGTGAGAGGCAGGGCCGGCGTGGCACGTCTAAGGACTCAACAGCTGTGCAGCTGGGGCCACACACGTGACACAGGAGGGCTGCGGGGAGGCTCGGAGAGGGGTCAGGGCCGGGCCAGAAGCTTCATGTGCCGTGGAGGAGCCAGGGCTCGGGCCTGGAGATGACAGGGAGCCTGGGGAAGGGCTTTAAACCAAGGGACAAGGTCAGGGCGGTGTTTTAATTAGGCCGTCCTAGCTTCTGTGCTGTGTGTGTTCTCTGCATGGCTCTCCTCCAGCCTCGATCTACCGCCCTTGGTTGGTGCATTTTGAATAGTCAGGGACTCTGCTCCAACCAGGTCGGTCTCGCAAGCCCCTCCCAGCTCTCCTATCCTGCGAACCACAAACAGCACCAGCAAACACAGTTGCCACACCTGCACTGTAGGACGCAAAGACAACCCTGACCCTGTGAACGCAGACCCTGTCTTACTTGTGTTTGCACCTCCAGGCGCAGAATGGGCGTTTGGCAGACGTTTGTTAGATGAATGAATGCCCCTCAATGACACGGAGCCTCCTGGGAGCATTGCCGAGGCCCGTGGGGTCACCGGCATCGGACCCGCCACCTGGCGGGGGTGGGCGTGACCTGGGACCTGGGCTGTACATAAAGGGGGTCTGGCTGGCCAGGTTCTTCACGCTGTTTGCTTTCTAGTGTTTTCCACATGTTGTTTGCCTCTCCAAGTTTTCATCATAATGCTCAATGAACCAGGGTTCCAAAGCTGCCTCCCAGCTCCCGCTCCCCCAGGACAAGCTGGGGGACGTCAGCCTGCAGCAGGTGAAACCAGGGTGTCACCGGTGACTCGTGACATGCTGACCAGCTGGAAAAACAGTGTCTGTAATACCGGTGTTTGCTGAACAACTTTCTTTCTTAGCCTCTCAGGCTTCATGTGATAAAAAGGCCAGGGGCGTAGGCTTTACAGTGAGACCTTGGCAGCCTTGCACAAATCACAGAACCTGTAAAACAAGTAATACAGAGTAACACAGCCCCTGGTGTTTGCCCCGGTCTTTTTTTAAGTCCTCCTCCAGGATATGTCTATTGAATTGTAAAGGGAGAGGGAAGGAGAAACATCACATGAGAACCATTGGTTGCCTCCTGCACACACACCCCACCAGGGATCAAACCTGCAACCTCTTGGTGCAGGGGACCCTCCAACCGACCTTCCAACTGACTGAGCCAGCCAGCACAGGGGCCAACGTCAGTCTTAGAAAAACAATGCCGTGAGGAATTTCACCCCATCCGGCCCAGGGTGTGGGGCTGCAGGGAAAAAGTCACCCCACTGAGCCTCACTTTTTCTTACCCGTGAAGGGGAGGCAGATAAACAGTATGCGCTCTGCAGCAGCCCAGGCGTTCATGCACTTGAAGTGCTGAGCACCAGCGTCCCGACACCCGCCGGGGGCAGCTGTTCAGTTCAAGGTGAACCCTGCCTGACGGCGGCCACTTGGCACACGCATGACCAGGCATCGGGGCTGGCTTGGCGGGCGGGCTTCCCCTCTTCCCCACCACTGTGATCAGGCGTACTGATGAAATCCACGCTGCGGGCTGAGCTGATAGAGCACCACACAACCCTCCCCCACCCCCCTACCCCCCCCCACACACACCCTCAGGCGGTTCACCCACCCTCTACTGGCACCCGGGCCTCCTACACAGCAGCTGCAGACAGGACAGGGAAATGTGGAATGGACGAGGCAGAGGGGCCAGATGCTCCCAAGGCCTCAGAGGTCATTCCCACGGGCCACCTTCTCACCCCGCCCCCCGCCCCCAGGGCACCGCTGGGTAAAACCAGGGTCTCCACACCTCCCTCGGCCCTGGCAAGTGGGTTCTTACTTCTGCCTCTTCCTCCCCAGCAGCACCCTTCTAGTCACTTGGGGAACAGCATGTTGTGGGATGTTCCTGTGAGCACTGAGGGAGTTAGCACCCCACCCCACCCCTGCTGGTCAGCAGGGTGCTGGACGAGGGGCTTTGGAAACAACTTGGAGTTTAAAATCGGACCCAGCACTTAACTAACACCGTGCCCTCGGCCAGTGACCTTCCTCCTCTGGGCTTCCTTCCTCATCTGGAAAATGCAGATACCCCAGCCAACAGCGGTTTGGGGAGGATTAACTCAGAGTTCAAAAGAGCACATGCCAGTGGGAGGGAAATGCTCGTTTCCTCCCCGCTGTTCCCCACACCACACCCCACCCCGCTCTCTCACTGCCGCTATTCTGGAGGTCAGAACAAGTTCCTTCAGGCTGGACCCGTCTCAGGGAGGCCAGGGCCCTCCAGGATGGCCGCTGGGGGCTGGCCAGAGATTCCTCCCCTCCCCCAGGCCTCAGCCCCACGAGGCTGCACCCAATCCACAGGAGCTCCAAACCCAGACGAGGAAGAGACAAGGTCTCCAGTCCATTCTCTCTGGTGGGGTCTGATTCCACCCCAGGGGGGCGTGGGGGGGCTCAGCCTATCGGAGGAACTCTCATGGACAAAGCAATCAACAGACTACCACTTGGTTGTAGCAAATTTAATTTGTGCTGTCCACGCTGGACACTGCATAGAACTGGTGTCAGCCCCCTGAGAGCACCCGCCTCCCTGCAGAGGAGGATCGGGGGAGAGTGGACATTCAGAGCCACGGAAGGGAGACGAGACCACTCAAGTGGCAAGTGAGGCCCCCCCCCACTCGTCTCACGAACTCGAGCCGGGCAGGAGGGGCGGACAGGAACGGAGGAAGGGCAATGGGATCGCCCCGGGGGGTGTCGACTTCTCGCGGGGCTGTGGGGAGCCCGGAAAGGCTCCGTGCACAGGGTGCTGGCTGGTGACTTTTCCTGGGCGAGAGCCTCGGAGAGGGGCTGAGCCAGAGAGGGGCTGAGCCGGCCAGGCGGCCCAGGCAGCCCAGGCGGCAGCGGCGTTATTGCTCACAGCGGGATGTGAGCCCTTCCCAGCTCACCCAGGGCAGGGAGAACCAGAGGCACCCGGCAGCCCCTTTGGGCCTCGCACCTCCAGGTCGGCGTGGGAGCCTGCTCGGGCGGCCCTCCCTGTGGGGCAGTGGCGACGGGAGGAGGCTGCAGCCGAGCTGCCCTGTCTCCGCCACTGCGAGCGACCGCTGAACTGACCACCATTCCAACCGTCCTTTCAAGTGACCACTCCTCACTCCGCTGATCAGAGTTCCATCCTTTTCGGAAAAAGGCAGATGCTGGATTTCACGTTCTGTCCTGACATACGCGTGCACGCGTTTAGGAGGCAAGCAGGTACAGGGACACAAGTGACACGTCCAGGCTGACAGTTTTTCCCTGGGGTGTAAGCAAAGGGAAGAAAGACCAGACAGTCTCTTCAGAGGCAGCTCTGCGAGGCACACGCCCCGTGGAGAGCCCACCTTTGCCCCCCCCCTGGCTGAGTCATTCGAGGCTCAAGTCCACGAGAAGCCACGACTCCCCAGAAAGGATCTGAAGACACAGGAACACAAGAGCTGAAGATCACTGGCTTTGGCGTAAGCGATGAGGCGTCCTCAGTCACACGCACCCTTACTGGGGCCCTGCGGTGGCGCCTTGAGGCTCACACTGTGCTGGAAAGGGGCCCCTCTCAGGCCGGAAAGGCCACACCCCACTGCTGGGGGCTCGGGGTCTGGAGAGCTGCCCGCCTCCCTCCCTCCGTCTGTCACACGGCCGTCCCCACCACTGCTCCTCTAAGGCCTAACGATAAAACCCCTAAAAGGGAGAGGGTTCGTTTCGTGTGGAACTATGGGGCTGCAAGGCTGTTAGCTGTTGTACAAGGGGACCACCCGGGCGATCTCCCGCCTGCAGATGGGGCACCGCTTGGGCTCCGGCAGAGAGTGGTAGCACTCGGTGCAGCAGCAGACGTGCCCGCACTCCAGGAAGGCGCAGGACTTGGCGCTGCTCAGGCACACGACGCAGGTGCTCTTCAGGCCCTCCCTGTCCTCGGGCGCCGCGCGGCTCAGCAGCTGCGCCTCCCGCTCCCGGAACTCCTGCTCCATCTGCTTGAGGCGCAGGCGCTCCTGCCACTGCAGATACTGCTTGCGGAGGATGAAGAAGAGGGCGGCGCACGTGGCGAAGCCAAACACCAGCATCAGGACTTTCCAGAGCCTGGCGCTCGACTCCTGCCGCTGCAGCAGGCTGTCGAAGTCCTGGCTGCTCAGGTAGTACTGCAGGCCCTGTTTGGGCGGCTGCAGGCGGACGGAGTTGTGGTCCAGGACCAGCTCGCCCACGCCCGTGAGGGTGGCCCCGACCTTCAGCATCTCCTCGGTCTCCTGGATGCCTTTGGGCCGCTCCCCACTGATGTAGTGGCCGATGACATCCGTGAAGGACTGGACGGAGGGGTGGAACTTCTCGTACACAGTGTCTAGGCCCAGGTCCATGGCGTCCAGGGGCTTCAGCACTCGCACGGCCACATCCACGCTGTCCTCATGGGGCACCAGGTCAAAGGGCACCGTGTTGGTCCTCTGGTGAATGATCTTGGAATAGTCGTTCCTAAAACAGCAAGAGAACTCAAGGTGAAATGAAGGACAGCGCAGGCCGCACGCCCAGGCAGAGGGGGACAGGAGAAGCCTGCGGGCACAGAAACCACCGCTGTGCAAGCGCCCCAGGCTCTCAGGCTCTCAGGCGGTGTCAGAGGGCAACGGATACCGGCACAGATCACCTCTACCGTTTATTTCCTCTTACACTTTAAAATAAATCTCTGACTCTCTAAAATGTTAAACGAGAACTACCATACGCTCCAGCAGTCTCACTTCCGGGTACTGCACTGAAATCAGGTTCTCGAGCTGAGCCCTGCAGCCAAGTTCACTGCAGTGCTGTTCACAACAGCCGAGACACAGAGACCACACAAGTTACAGGGACCCGGTCCGCGTGGCAACAGCGAATGTAGCTCAGTCCTGGTTCGGAAAACCGACAGGCACAAGGCGGCACATGGGAGCCTGGCCCGCAGATCGGCTTTCCCCTAGGGAACCAGGCCTGCATTGTACCCAGGCTGCTTCGAGGCTTGCTTTTGCTAAACTCCCTCACCCTGAATTAAGGCAGCACATGCTTACTGCATGTCTTTGAAGTGACTTCCTAAAGTCTGTGCAAAACCTCCCAAGTATGGAGTGTAACCAGTTCGACCACTTTCCCCCTTGCATTTGCAACATCCTTTTCTTTGTTACCTGTAAAAGGTCACCACCTAAGGCAAACCTGTGCAGAATGAATGAGGACCTTCCTTGATGTAATGCTCCTAGAAAAGCAATGAAAGCCTGTCCAGGCGGGAGTCAGGGCCCTCTCTCACTCAGAGCGTGGCCATGCTGTCCCTTTTCTCCACAGGACTTCTGCAATCTATATGAATTTGTTCATCACATCCACAACACCACAGACACCGCAGGCCGGAGTCCGCATCAGTAAGTGTCCATCTATGGACACGTGGATGAAGAAATGTCTCTCTCTCTCTCTCTCTCTCTCTCTCTCTCTCTCTCTCTCTCACACACACACACACACACACACAGGAACACTAGTCAGCATAAAAAGAAGGAAACCCTGCCATACGCAACAAGGTGGATAAACTAGGAGCACACTATACTAAGCAAACTAAGCAGCTCACAGCAGGACAAATATGGCGTAATTCCACTTATATGAGACATCTAAAACAAACATACTCATGGAAACAGAGGGTGAAATGGCAGAAGCCAGGGTCTGGAGGAGGGGGGAGAGAAAGCGGTAGCTGCTGTTGAATGAGTATAAAGTTTCAGTTACACAAGATGAACAAGTTCGAGAGGTCTGCTGTACAACTTTGGGCCCATTACCAACAATACCGTATTGCTGCACTTAAAAATTTACTAAAGGGTAGATCTTATGTTCCGCGTTCTTACCACAATAAAAAATCAAATAAAATAAATACAAAACAAAACCCCACTAGGATCATCTAGAAAAATGGTACTCTACTAAACAGCTAAATAATCCGCAAAATTGTTTTAATAAATACTGAAATCATTAATCCATGCCACAAATCAGTAGTTGCAGACTTCAGTGGCCATACCGACGCCAGGCCCCCTATCCTGGAAACTCTGGTTTGGTGGGTCTGGAATGAAGCCCAGGGATCTGCATTTGCACAAGATGCCCCAGTGACTCTGAGTTAAGAAGTCCTTAGGCCACACACAAGATTATAATCAGCCTTGGCTGGGTATCTCAGCTGGTTAGGGCACTGTCCCCGTACGCCAAGGTTGCAGGTTCGATCCCTGTTCAGAGCACACACCAGACAAAGCCAATAAATCCATAAATAAGTGGAACAACAAATCAATGTCTGTCTCTCTCTCTCTAAATAAAATCAATAAATTTTTTTAAATGAATTATTATCAGCCCTGGCTGGTGTGGCTCATTGGGTTGAGTGCCAGCCCATAAACGGAAAGGTGGTGGGTTCAATTCCCAGTCAAGGCACATACCTCAGTTACAGGCCACGTCCCCAGTAGGGGACCACACATTGATGTTTCTCTCCCTCTCTGTCTCTCTCCCTTGCCCTTTCTCTAAAAATTAATAAAATATTTTTAAAAGAATATTATCAGAATTAAGAACCTGGAGAAGCTGACTGCCAGGCTCGGGCCCGCGGAGGGAGGCCACATACCAAAGGTGGGTGGTGCGGTTCCACACCATCTTGTGCTCCTGAAGCGTCAGCCGCTGGATCACGCCCTTGCAATTGTCCACGAACTGGCTGTTAAGCGTTTCTTTAACAGCCCGAACGGCTCCTAAACGGAAACAAATTATTTTATTTCTGAAGAATTGTTCTGCCCTTCCCTTTAAGGTAAATTAAGTTTTTTTAGTTTGAGCTCGTTTCATTAATCAAAATGGTGAAAATGTCATCCCCCTATGTTATGTCTCGTAGGCACTCTTCCAAGCACGACCACAGCCCTGTAAGGTGGAAACTGTTTTCGAGCTGGAGCAACAGAGGTCCAGAAAGGCTGGGTGATTTCCACAAGGTCACACTACAGCGATCGAGGTCTTTCTGACCCCAGAGTCCAAGTTCTGGATCACTGCCCCGAGGATACAAAAGGCCCTGAATATCGGCCAAGAACAGACTTGCAGAACAGGAAGTTACTTTTCCTTTCACCAATAAACAAACATACCTTCGATGACAGCATAAGGCACACATTTTCCTGGGGCTTCTGAAAGGATACTCTTCAAGTCTTCACCCAAGTGGATTCTTTTAGCTCCCTAAATGGAAACAACATATTAAACTGACCGTTGAATACTAACATGTTCAATCAAACGCAAAGGGCATAAAAGAAGACGACTGTTTACTTCTTCCGTGTAAACAGAACGAGGAAACCTGGCAGGAAGGAGACCACAAGGGAATCAGACTCCAAAGCTGTGTCCCCGAAGTTTTACCAAACAGGCACGGGGCCGTGCCTTCCTGTGCCACCCACAGAGTGGAGAGGCCACACTCTTTCTCCAGTTAATGGAAGCATACACTCCTCATCTTAATTTCTTAATGAAAATTAAGAATCAACTTGCATATGGTACACGGATCAGGAGGGCTTATGTGTGAAGCACCTAAACGAGTTCCTGGCACTTGGTAGGGGCTGGAGGAGGAGTAGGTATTACCACCACCTGCCTTTATCAATTCCCGCTCTGCCTTACACACCATCAGAAAGGAGTGCCTTGGCTTTCCAGGGTGGGGCTCGCCTAGCTGGTGCCAAACACTATTCTACTTTCAGTTTCTCTTTCTTCCCTTTCACAGTCGGGTGAGCATGGCGACATCAGCTGCTGTCTTCCTTTAATAACCCCTCGTTCCCCCACCCTTCCCAATTCAGAGTTTCCAACCCGCTGTGCTTGGGAACCAAGCAAGCCTGCTACTGCTGTATCAAAAATACGAGAAAAGTAATACAATTCATAAACCCTTCCTGAGCATCAATGTGCCAGGCATAGTGTTGGGCGCTAGGGATTCAGGGATGAAGAACAGCTCCCACTTTCAGGGTAATCCCATCAACAAGTCTTAAGGATGCCAGATAAGTAACCCCTGGAGAGGAGAGGAGACACTGGATACATACTAAGGTCGATCTAAGAGGAAGCCACTACTCCATAGGCACGATGAGAGCAAGGTCAGTAAGCCTCCTACACTGTGAAGATCATTTTAGAAGGTAACGACTAACGCAGTTTATTTACTTGTTTTACTATTTGTCTCCCTCCACTGGACCATTAGACTCTAGGAAAGTTAGGACCTTGTTTGTCCCGCTCACTGCCGGCCCCCTGGGGGCACTGACACAGAGGGGCACTCAGTGTGCATCTGCCCAACAAACGAGCCCTCGGACCTGCAGTGCAGCAGGCACTGCTCTTCCCGGAGACTTCGGCAGGGTCTCCCTCATCTCCCCCTGGGCTCCGTCCCAACGCCCCTTTCTTTAAAACAGCAAACCTCTTTCTCCAGCGTTCCATTTCCTCTCCTCCCTACATGACTCTGCAGCACTTGCCCCCATCCGGTATGCCATCTGAGGTGTTTGCTCATCGTCTGTCTGCTTGCAGCAAACAGAATCTCCATGAGGGCAGGGCTGTTTGTCTGTTCTACCAGAGCGACATCCCCCGTGCCCGCAGCTTAGCAGGCGTTCAATATGTATTTGTCGAATAAAGTATTGAAGTCAAAATGCATTCTGAGTCATGGGAGGAACTTGTCAGAAGCAGCCCCATGAAGCAATTAGGACAAGGCCTAAATTCTGATCCCAGTTCCTCCAGCGGGTGACCCCCTCCCTTAGCCTATTTCCTCTTTTGGGTAGCGCTCCGACGGTGGAGCGGCCCAAGGCGACCTGTGTGCCCCCATTGCCGGGGGCAGAGATGACCAGGCTGAGGCCAGGCCAGCTCCAGCACTGACCTTGAGTTCTTGGGCGTCCCGGGCCTTCTGCCGGTACACGGTGTACAGGACAGCGGTGACCACAGAGCTGCTGCCCAGAAGGATGAACTGGACCAGCGAGGGCCGTCCTCCGTTCTCCATGGCTGAGCGGAGCCCGGCGTGCAAGGGGAGGGTACGCCGAGGTCAGGGGCCCGACCCCAACCGTGCACCGCCCTGGACTTTACTCCACACCAGTCAACAATCCCCAGGAAGGCCTTTCCCGGAAACCCGCATCCGGTCGCCAAGCGATGACGTATGCCAAACAGGAAGTGGGGGGTGGAGAAAAGCTGAAGGCTGTGTTGCCAGAGTGATCGCAGCCAGGGGCGGGGCGGGGCGGGGCGGGGTGGGGCGGGGCCTTTCGAAGCCTCTCGAACCCGGCGTGGGGAGTTTTGCTGGAGCTGAGCGGTAGCTCAGGGCTTCTTCACCCGCTCGCTTTACACACAAGACACACCGACCATACTTGACTTGCCCGCGTCTCCCTAATCTTCGTCCCGTTGATTTCCTGGAGTTATTGAGTTGTTTGATGGGTTATGTGGTGTCTCCTCCATTAGATTGGGAGAAAAGAACAGAATATATAATAAACATTTATGCATTTATGCTTCAAAGCAAACCTTGAGGCTTGGATTACATTCTCCCACTTTACAGATGAGAACGCAGGCCAGAATGGTTAGGAGATATGCTCGCCCTGGCTGGCGTAGCTCAGTGGATTGAGCACAGGCCATGAACCAAAGTGTCACAGGTTCGATTCCCAGTCAGGGCACATGCCTGGGTTGCAGGCCATGACCCCCAGCAACCACACACTGATGTTTCTCTCTCTCTCTCTCTCTCTCTCTCTCTCTCCTTCCCCTCCTCTCTAAAAATAAATAAAAATAAAATGTTAAAAAAAAAGGAGATGTACTCAAAGTCACACTGCCAGTGAGAACTAAAGAGGAATTGACTGAACTTCCGAGCTCTTACTGCAAGAGGGCAGATTATATCACCAAAGTAGTCCCTTATTCTGCCATCACTGCATGTAACAGCGTATTGTTTATTAACTACTAATTACAGCTACATTTACTGAAAGTCTACTATGTGTCAAATATTATGACAAAAGCTTCACAGATGTCACACCATTTAATCCTCACAGCACAGCTCTAAAGCAGATTTCAGAGGCTCTAATAGGTGTGAAATGGTATCTCATTGTGGTTTTAATTAGCATTTCTTTAATGACTAATGATGTTGAACATCCTTTTATGTGCTTCTTTGCCACCCGCATATCTTCATGAAGTATCTGCTCAAATCTGTTTCCCGTTTTTTTATTTGGTTTATTTTCTAAATAATTGACAGTACTTTGTATGTTTCCAATTCAAGTTCTTTACCAAATACATGATTTACACATTTTTTCCCCAGCCCTGTGGCTTGACCTCCCATTCTTTTAAACTGTCTTTTGAGAGCAGAAGTTCTTTATTTTTATTAACTCCAATTGATGGATCTTTTGCAACATCATGCTTTTGGTGTTGCACCAAAGAAGTCTTTGCCCAACCTAAGATCACAAAGATTCTCTCCGATGTCTTCTCCCAAAAGTTTTATAGTTTTAGGTCTTACACTTAAGTCTATGATCCATTTTGAATTACTGTTGGTTGGCACATGGTGTGCCAGGCACCCGCTTTCCACGCAGCGCTGCATGCTGTCTCTATCACATCTGCTACAAAGCAGTTAGGTTACCATTTTTATCCCCACTTTACCACGAGGAAACAGTGAGGTGAAGTCGCAGCGTTCATCCAGTTCCACCTCTCTCCTGAGTTGTATGCTTAAGCACCTAACTATACCTACTTTTATTTCGTTCACGTTGCTGGCCCTAAAAACAACTTAGGGGGTCATTCCCTGCCCTGAACCACACGCGTCACTGCTACTCAAAGATTCACTCAATGACAGTCTATTTAGGAAGCTTGCCTGGAAGCCAGAATTCCACTGGGAATAGTGGGAATAATTTGTAAAATGGTCTGCAAGCGCCCTTCCGTCTCCACTACGATCTCTGGGATTTTCCCAGGAACAGGAGCAGTCAAGGCTGCAGTGGATACTATTAGCCACAAGGAGGCGCTAGGAGCACAGGATGCAGAAGACAACAAAAAAAGCGGGGGTGCTGGGGAGTAGGCCTAGGGAAGGGAGATAAAAGAATGGTGAGGGTCTTGAAATTTAAGGGGAGCACTGAGCTAACCGTGGACCCACGCTGGGCTGTATCTAGGGGACCGGTTAGTCCTCAGGCTTGCTATTATGCCAGCAGGCCCTGTGACCATCACCTGCAGCCACCCTCCCCTACCTGTCCCCCATCCCCGCCTGTGATGTGCAGGACCTCCATTCCACCCCCATTCCCCTACCCCCACCTCTACCACCTCCCCTTTAGTTATTTTTTTTAAAGATTTTATTTATTTACTTTTAGAGAGGGAGAAGGGAAGGAGAAAGAGAGGGAGAGAAACATCAATGTGTGGTTGCCTCTCATGCTCCCCCTACTGGGGATCTGGCCTGCAACCCAGGCATGGGCCCTGACTGGGAATCCAACCAGTGACCCTTTGGTTTGCAGGCAGGCACTCAATCCACTGAGCCACACCAGCCAGGCGCCCCCCACCCCGCCCTTTTTTTTTAGTTATTAACAGCACCTGTTGGGCAGTGGAAGGCACCTGGCACCCAGGGTATTGATTGGGAAAGGATGACTTAGGCACCCTGAGTCCTAATCAGCTCTGCCATTTACTAGCCATTTGACCTCTGGCAAAGCCCCAGCAGCTTCCTGACTCTCGGTTTCCCATCTGTATTCCAGCTGCAATTCAAGTCAAGCTATTTGAAAATAGGGGGATTAAAACAGCTCCTCCCCAGGTACTTGGCAAACCACTTCACTGCTCCTCCCCAGGTACTCTGAGAAACCACTTCACTTTCTCAGCTGGAAAAGGGGGTAATAGCCCTGTTCCTGCTCTGACTGATGTGGCCCAGATAAGCTGATGTGCGGGGAATTGCTATAAGCACATTAAGAATTCTTTTATGTTCTTTTATGTTTTTAATTCTTCTTTGTGTTCCTGGTTTGTACAACATAGGTGAGGAAGTGGATGAATTTGAACAATTGAACAATTGTTTTTTAACCTATTAAATCTGTCCAGTATCATTTGGTAGGTTATACTGCAATTTCTGAAAACTGTTTATTGTAGTCACAAGATAAACAAAAGTTGGATAACCAACCATGGCTGAATGGCAAATGAGTAACAGAGAAACATAAATAGAACAGAAGCTCAGAGGAGGAACACAACATTGCCACAGGCTTCTGTCGTTAGGGAATAACCATAGTAGGTAGCACTTACTGAACACGTACTATGGGCCATGCACTAAGCCAAGCACTTTACATACAGAATCATAAATCTTTGCTTTGAAGCAACTTTAGGGGTCATTCTACAGATTTATCTGTGTAATTATTCCCTTAGGGTCCCTCTCCCTTGCTAAATTCTAAGCCAAATGTGCCCAGGAGTTTTATTTGTCTTGTTAACTGCTGCATTCTCAGAATTTAGCCCAGTACCTGGTATATAATAGATGCTCAGTAAATATTTGTTGAATAAATAAATAAATAAATAAATAAATCAACAGCCCTGTCCCAAACTGATTCCCAGCAGGAAAAGCCCCTCTACATTGACTCAGAGAGGGACGTCAGCCTTTGCCCGAACCATTCCCTTGCTGGAGAACTCAGTGCCTCCCAAGGAGTCTGTCAACTATCTTGTATCCCTGGCACTTCACCTCCTTGGCCCTGGTTCCGCCATCCTGAGCCTTAGTTCATCCTGAGGAAAGAGTTGGATCTGGGGCCCGTCTGCACGTCTCAGTGACTTCCTTCCAGTTCTGCCAACCAGGAGCCCAGCTAATTCTGATGGAAGGAACGAACAGTATGATGGCTGGAAAGTATGCAAGTTCATCTTTTCCTCAAGATGGGAGGAAACTGTCTATGTGTTAAGGCAAATGTATGGACTGGAACTTGAAAAGGAAACAGACTGTAGATACTGGAGAGGAAGGGATAAATGTAGGATCCTCTGTGGGACCTAGTGCTGCAGAGAGGAGGACCTTGGCCTAAGCTCTCACCAGCAGTTGGCTTAAGAATGAGCACGTGGACTTCTGGCCAAGATGGAGGGGTAGGTAGACACACTGTGCCTCCTTGCACAACCAAAAGAAGGACAACAACAAATTTAAAAACAAAGAACAACCAGAACTGACAGGAAACAGATCTGTATGGAAGTCCAACAACCAAGGAGTTAAAGAAGAAACATTCATCCAGACCAGTAGGACAGGCGGGTTGGGCAGCAGCTGGAGGACTAGAGCAGGCAAGACGGTGGCTGGCGGACCCGGCAAGATGGCGGATTGTGGACTGGGCAGTCCCACATTCGCATGTAGATCAACTGGGAGGAACAACTGGGGAGTGAAATAGACCGAGCAACCCAGGGTTCCAGTGCCAGGAAATAAAGCCTCAAACCTCTGACTGAAAACACCTCTGGGGGTTGAGGTGGCAGTGGGATAAACTCCAAGCCTCACAGGAGAGTTCACTGGAGAGACCCACAGGGTCCTAGAATGTACACAAACCCACCAACCTGGGAATCAGCACCAGAAGGGCCCACTTTGCTTGTGGGTAGCAGGGGAAGTGACTGAAAACTGGCAGAAAGCAGAGCAAGTGGCACTGTTCCCTCTCGGACTCCTCCCCCATGTATATCATCACAACACAGCGACATGGGTTGCTCCGCCCTGGTGAACTAACGCTCCACCCCTTATACATAATAGTCACACTGACACACACACAAAAATGGCCCAAATGAAAGAACAGATCAAAGCTCCAGAAAAAATACAATTAAGTGATGAAGAGAAAGCTAACCTATCAGATGCAGATCAACATCAAAACACTGGTAATCAGGATGACCACAGAATTAGTTGAGTATGGTTGCAAATTAGAGGAAAAAATGAAGGCTATGCTAAATGAAGTAAAGGAAAATGTACAGGAAACCAACAGTGATGGGAGGGAAACCGGGACTCAAATCAACCGTTTGGACTAGAAGGAAGAAAGAAACATTCAACCAGAACAGAATGAAGAAACAAGAATTTAAAAAAAAGACTTCTGGCCAAGATGGAGGCATAGGTAGACACACTGTGCCTCCTCGCACAACCAAGATAGGGACAACAACAATTTAGAAACAGAATAACAACCAGAACTGACAGAAAATTGAACTGTATAAAAGT